TCCACCTAGAGAACTCTTTGATATACAACTGTTCCAGAACATGCAGAAAGCTGAACATTTACCTCTTTAACCAGTCTGTTAAAACTCAAAGAACGAAGAAGGTCAGTACCTCTCAGGAATATTAATGCAAAAGTTCCAGTTTACACAGTGCCAGCACAGCCCATACAGCTAGTACTCCTGGATTTAGGAACATTCACTCCAGAAATCAGGATTCTTCATATTAGGAATTATACAACTATAATATTCCATTTTAATCAAGTGGTGGAGAAAAACCAGTCATCTCAATGTTTAATGAGAAAGAGGGTGATAAAATTTAATATTGATCATTTCAGAAAAATAAACCTGGTAATAGGAGAAAAGTATTTTTATAATGTGAGCGTATCAGGCTTAATGGCGACACGAGAGCTGAAGTTGACAAACTAACGCCCACAAGCCAAATCTAGCCCATGTGTTTCTGTAAATAAAGTTTTATTTTAACATTGCAAAACCCACTCATTTCTGCATTGTCTATAGCTGCTTAATAAGGTAGAGTTGAGTAGTTGTTAAAGAGATTGCATAGCCTGAAAAGCCAAAATATTTACCAGAAAAGCTTTGCCAATCCTCGATTTAGAAGTATCTCCATTTTATTCAGGGAGGACCAAGGCAACGTTACTCACTATCACATCCCGCGTGACAAAGGCTGGGGGGCTCGAGGAGGGGTGGTGAAGGGTTAAGAAATCACAAGAGTCAAAAGTAGAGTTTCTGTGGGCCAGGGGTCTCATCACTGCAGACAGAGAGAGTGAGCCCTGATACTGGTGGGTGAATAACTTTTATTTACAACGGTCACAAAGAAGTCAATTTGAATATCAATATCCAGTTAATTCAACTAGACTGGCAGCTACTTCACCGAAACTCATTGTGATCAAGCACAAGTTGTGCTTTCACACATATGTATGATCCCCAGGATGGCCTCAGCATTCCGAGACCACCGGATAAGGAAGTTTTACCGAGATCGTTCCCTCCGGTTTCAGCATTCCAAGACACTTCCTTATGACTTCAAAGGATCAGTGAGCAGGAGCATTCGAGTTGGCAGCTGCAAGGTGACAACTCACTAGTCCTTATTTATGAGCAGACAATTCACAAAAGAAGTAAATATGGACAGTAAATACATAAAAACTATGAAGTCATCAATAATCAAAGAGGTGGAAATAAAAATGATAAAAGTATATACCCAAGCATCTGTTATGAGGCAGGCAGTATCCCAAGCACTCAATCTATTAGGTAGTTGGGAAAGTCATGACACATTTTTGCATTGAAAAGCATAGAAAAATACGTCATGACTTTCCCGACCACCCAATACATAACCTCATTTAATACAGAAATCCTAGTGAGGGAAGCTTTGTTATTTCCATTTATAGATGCAGAAAATGAAGAGGTTAATTAGTAGGTAAAGTTTGGCAACGGTTTTAAAAGACTATGTTGGATGTAGGCAAAAATAGTTAGGAAATGGACCCTATTACTCAGCACCCATGGATAGTTATGTGGGTACACCCTCTGTAGGGTGGTCGAGTTGGAAGTCCAAATGTAAAGTATGCTTATTCAGCAATCTCACCTTTGTGATTCCCTCATGGAAATCACTGCCCAAGTATGAAAGCTTGTGGTGATAGAATTCTGTTACAGCATGCTTTGTAACAGAACATCCATCAATAGAATGTTTAATTATGGTGAGAAATTAAATGGAATATTATTGGGAGACAAAATTAGGGTCATAACAACATGGGTGATCCCAGCTCTATGAAACTGTCTCCCAGAGAAGCTCTGGTCTGGAAGAATGTCACTCACATGTTAACGGTTGTTATCTATAGGGGGCAGGATTTTAAGCAATATTTGTTGTTTACCTTTTCCTGAATGATTTTCATTCATTCTTTTTTTTTTTTTTTTAAAGATTTTTATTGGGAAGCTGGGGGAAGGGAAACAGTGTTGGGGAATTAGGAAAGGGGAACAGTCAAGTTGTTGTTCTTCAATCTTAGTTGTGGAGAGCGCAGCAAGCTCAGCTCCAAGTCCAGTATTACTGCTCAGCTCAAGGTGCTGTCTTCAATTAGCTGCAGGTGGGCGTAGCCACCATCCCATGTGGGAGTCAAACCAGCAGCTTTGTTGTTAAGAGTGCGTGCTCTATCCCCTGAGCCACCTGGGTGGCAGCTCAGCTCAAGGTGCCGAGTTCGGTCTTTAGTTGCAGGAGGGCATAGCCACCATCTTAAACAAGCAACCTTATTGTTAGGAGCACATGCTCTCAGCAGCTGAGCCATCCTGCCACCGGTTGGCAGCTCAGTGGCAGCTCAGCTTGGGCGCAGCTCACTAGCCCATGTGCAAATTGAACAGGTGACGCTGTTGCCCAGAGCTTGCACTCTTGAGCAACCTCTTAACCAACTGTGCCACTCGGTCAGCCTCTGATTTTCATTCTTTACAATGAATTTGTATCACTTGAATTAAAAAGAAAGAAAAGCTGTACAGCAGTGAAAATTAATGAACTAGATCATCATATCAAAAAGGCAAATCTTGCAATGATAAATACATGGAACAAAAAAGGCAAGTTGCAGATAAAATCTGGTATCAATAGCATTTATATGAATGCAAAACATGCAAAATATATACTGCTCTGTATTGTTCTTGAATACACACACATAAAGTTTCAGGAAACAGGAGGGACCCACATCTTGTTCAGGACAGTGGATGCCTCTGGAGGAAGGTGGTTTCTATTGGAGAGGAGAACAGGGTTTTCAACCCTGAGGGCCATGTTCTATTTTTTTCTGGCTTTGGAATGCATGTGTTCACTGATTTCCTTACAACTTTATTAGGTTTTACGTATTTAAAAAAAAATGATCAGACCTCTAACATTAAATTCCACGGGTGTGAGAAATTGCAGGTTGAATGCCGAGCTGGTGACAAAGGCACCGGAAGAGCTGTGGAAGGGGAGCTTCCCCATGGCCACTGACAGTGAAGCATGTTGACTTCCATATGGGGTACTCAATCTCATAGTGTTGAACTTAGTGACTCCTTGGTACTTAGCTGGTGAGGCTGAGTTAATCCCAGGATTTGAGGGTACAAGGTAACTTTAAGTCTAGCTTACCTGTGCTAGTTATTTTACTATTGGTGACTCTAAAACCTAGCTCATAAAATGCCTTACTTGTTCCAAGTAATGCGCCCTGGCCCCCACCTCCCTTTACATTTCATTATCATCTAGCTATAAGCAAATGGAACCAACTGGAATCCACATGTAGCACAGGGTGAGCATTCTGAGCACCCCTCAGACAAAAGGCATGTCTGAGCGGAACCTCTATTCTCCTGCTCTGGTCTCTTCCCACTCAGAAACCTCAGTTGCAGCTCATACACAGATCAGACTCCCCTTTGCCACCTCATAGCATAGATAACAGGGTCTCTATTCTGTTCTCTAGTGGCACACTGGGGTCGCCATTATGAGAGGGGGCTTGGGTCAGAAAGAAGCAGAATCTTCACAAACCTGTAATCCGCTCCCCACCCAACAAGGCCCTTGGTGGACAGCTCTGAGTAGAAAGGCCTCTTCTATGCCCTGCCTTGTTCTGGATATTACAGGCTGAACTGCGGCCTACAATGCAAACCCTTGAACCTACTGCCTGTTGGCTCTACCTTTAAAACACTATCATATCCCCAGTCTGACCACTGATCACCATCACTCTGATCCAAGCTGCCATCAGCTCTCTACCTTGATCACTGCATTGGTTTCTTGGGTCACTGTGGTCCTTCCCTCACCCTCATCTATTCTCCACACAGAAGCCAGAGTGATCCTTTGATGAAGCCAGAGCCTGTCACTGCTCTGCTCAGAGCCATGTCCCCCAATTCACTCAAAGCCAGAGCCATCACAATGCCCCTGAGGCTCTCTGCACTCCAGCCCCTACTACCTCTCTGACCACCGTGCTATTGAAAAGAAGGTGAGCAAAGGGACAGGCAAGGCAAATAAAGAGCAAGGAATAAAGTCCTGGGGGCCAGGGAGTCTCCAGGAGAGGGTCATTCCTAACACAGGTGGGAAGGAGGTGTCAGTGGGCTCTGTCGTTGAGGATTCCAGGGTCAGCTGGGGCTGGAGGCCCTGTGCCAGGTGAGGAGCTTTTTCTTCCTTCCTAGCAATGCTCTTAAATAGTGGCCTTGATTGACAGCTGCAGAGACAGAAGTTTCCTTTGCCTTGTTCCCTGCTCTGTTCCTCAGTGCCACTCAGTAAATGAGTAAGTGCCACTCGAGGAAAAAAAAAATCACAAAATAGGTAGATGATAACTTATGTTCCCATAAAGCTTTGCCATCTGGAGACCATTTTGGGAATAATCCCTGATGTTCTCAGCAGTAGGGCTTCATATGCAAGGGGAAGTTCAAAATTACATTCCTCATCTGAAAAAGGGTACCATAAGAGCCAGTTTCTCAGAGTCTTGTGTGGATGTAGAATGTCCAAACCAGTAAAGAATTTTTATGAGTGTATTTGAGCTGAAACTGACAATTGCTGGGAAACAAGATCTCAAATGCTCCAGAGAATGACAGTTTTACAGCTTCTTTCACGCATTTGGAATTAAGGAAGATTACATGGAGGTGGGAGAAAGCGAGGCAGGGATCAGATTACAGGATAGGTAAGGAGAGTATGTGCTGTCTTGAGGGTGGTTACTTTTTTTTTTAAGATTTTATTGGAATTGGGGGAGGGGAACAGACAAGTTGCTGTCCTTTGGTTCTTCAGTCTAGCTGTGAAGGACGTTGCTTCACTGGCCTATGTTGGTGTTATCATTGAGCTCTTCCCGGGTGAGGCAGTTATTCACTGGACATTGGACGGCTGCTCACAGCGGCTCATCGCGGCTTACCACGGCTCACGGCGGCTCATGGCAGCTCACGAAAGCTCATGCCCGCTTCCAGCCAGCCCCACTGCAGCCTACGCGGTCGCCGGTGACTCACGGTAGCCCAGCTCCAGGTTGAGCTGTTGTTCACCATCTTAGCCGTAGAGGGCGCAGCATCACTGGCCCTCATGTGGGATCCGAACTCGGGTTCTGCTGCTCAGAGCGTCCCAAGTCAACTCCTAACGCGTCACTCGGCTGCCCCGAGGGTGGTTACTCTTATTTCAAAGGTGTGTTAACCAAATGCACAGAAACCATGGACAAGGTTTCTTAAGGCAAAGATAAGCCATTTATGGAAGAAACTGTATGCCTGTGGAGTGACCACAGGCCATGACCTGCCCAGTTAGGAATTTATGGTCAGGTTAGTCAGGTTACTTTCTCTAGAACTCCTTTTTCGCCCAAACTTGTAAATATTAAAGTAAAGGATTCCTTGAAAGCGCTCAGACTTCAAGTTCCTATTGCTCACTGCATTGCCATTTTACAGACCAGCAAACTGAGACTCCCCACTGGACTTATCCAAGCCTCCCAAGTTGGGCAGCCTTGGCGGGGTAAGGCGGTCTGGAGCTGGGACAGTACAGCTTCCTCACAGGCGCCTAGGACACTAGCAGCCCAGTTAAATCTACAGCGCCATGGACTCTAGGGGAAGCAGCATTCCTAACCAGCCCTGGTGGCGCTCCTCACCAAACTGGAAATGTTCCTCCTGGAACTACAACTCCCGACAGCCCATGCGACGCGTCCCGGTCGACGCCGGGTGGAGCGTCCGCCATTGTCTGCGGCCGAGGTGAGGCGGTTGCCGTGGTGGTGGGGCCCTGGAGCTCCGGGAGAACTGACGGGAAGAGGAGGTACCTGTCGTTGCGGCCGGCGTGGCACCTGGCCAGGTTCTGCGCCTGTCCTTTAGCGCCGGCTTTGCTTCTCCGTTCTCCTTGGCCCGCCGCCCCGACGCCTTTGGGCTCGCGGCCGCGCGTGGCCGGGCTGGGCGGGCCCCCTGGCGCCCCGTCGCGGCCGCCGGCCCAGAGCTCCTTTGTCCCCCTCAGTCGCGCGCGGCTGGGCAGAACCTTGGAGCAAAACAAAAGCCGAACGCCCCGGCGAAGCGCCCCGGAGCAGAGAAGTCGCCTGCAAAGAGCGGCGGGAACCAGCCGTAGGGGGAGGCCGGCAGCTGCTAACCAGGTAAGGGGGCCTCTCGCTGGTGGGCGCTCCTGAGATCGCATCCGCGTCGGGGTTGAAATCTGGGGTAGGAGGCCAGGAAGCAGGCGGTGAGGAAGCCTGTGAAACCGTCCTTGTGAAATACCCGTATTTTATTCCCCAGAGGGCGTTTCTCGTTCGTTCTGCGCTGAAGGACGTCAGACGTGGACTGGGGACAGCCCTGGGTTCTTTTAAACATGCAGTGACCGCGGGACTTTGTCAGGTTACAAACAGCGGTGCAGAATAGATTGCCTGTTTTGCGTGTTGGCGCTGATCCTGGTGCTCCTGAAGCCCGGCGGGCGTCCCAGTTCTTTACCCACACTCCCAGGAATCCGCAGAGCTCTGCCAGTTGGCGCTGGTACCCTCAGAGAGGGACTTGTACAAAGACACTGAACCTAGGAAGTTGGGGGTTTGGGCTTCACACCAAGAGGAGACAGACAGGCTTGGGCCTGGTAGGTGTTGCAGGTGGATTTCTTTTCTTTTTTTTTTTTTTTTGAGATATTTCCATAACATAAAATTAATCATTGTAGTGTGTAATTCAGTGGTTTTGTTGTACATTCAGGAACTTGTGCGAGTATCACCAGAACATTTTCATCACCCCCTAAAAGAAACTTCAGTAACTATTAAGAGGTCACTCCCCATCCTCCCTCCCCCCAGCTCTAGGTAACCACTTATGCTGATAGATTTTACAATAATACTTGTCAAATCAACTGAAAAGTTACATTGTAACTGGCTGTCTCCTGGGAACCTTTGACAAATTTCTACTCTCTCATCTTGAATGGTGCTCTTTTTCAGCTGATTCAAATCACCCTTCATTTCTCTCTAGTTCTGTTAATGTTTCTGACATGTCAACTTTGTTTTCTTATGATGCTGCCTCGCAGTCTTTTGTTGCTTCTGTGGATGGATTCTGTTCTTTGTTCCTGCAGGATCTTCTGTGAGAAAGGACCACTTTTGTCTTTTTCACTTTTGTCTCTAGGTTGGTATTGCAGCTGCTTTCTTTATATCACTGGAATCCAGTGCTCCTGGCACGCGTCTGGTTAATTAATCCTGTGGGATGGCTGCCATCAACCCATGGGCCTCCTGGGGTGAGTCCAAATCCTGTTCCTTCTGGGCCTTCCCAGCAGTGACTTGCTGTAGCCAGGGTTTGTTCAGAGCTGAGGAGGGCCTGAGGGCTTCTGGGATTGGAGGGGGTCTATTTTAGTACAGAATTAGAACTGAGTGAGATTTAAAAAACAACAACAAAACTTGGTTATTGGTGAAAGGGCAAGTGATATAAAAGACATTGTAATTTGTATATATTTTATAGTCATCTCCAGAGATACTTCATTAGTTCTAAGAGTTTTCTCGTTATTTGTGGGATTTCTTAGACCATCGTACAGACCATCAGAATTTCTTTACCACTCCTAAATTTTAATTTCATTATTGTTTTTCACTTACATAGCACTGGTCTGAAATTTAAGAGCAATGTTAAATAGTAGTGTGGTTTCAGTTGTATGTTTTACCTTTAAGTGAGTTTTAGGGTATCTCTCACTAAAGACATCAAAGAAGTATCTTTTTACTACTTATATTTTTGAAAAACTAGGTAATGTCAAACATTTTATCAGATATCTCTTCAGCCATTTCACGGGTTCTGTTCTTAATTGTTTTGTGGCTGTATCATATCGATACATTTCCTGACAGTGATCCACCGACCTGTGTGTTTCAGGTGTAAATCTAGCTTATTATGTTGGATCTTTTCACATCCCTTTGGGCTCTGTGTATGGAACTTTGTTATGCCCATTAGTGAGACAGGTCTCTTTTTTCATGTTTTGGCCTTTAGTCACTAGGATTGGTGTTCCTTTCCATTCCTTATTCTAACCTGATCTTCTGGTATAGGTGTCTTTACAGACCAGTCCTGGGGGATGGCAGCAGTTGACCCATGGACCTCCTGGGGTGAGTCAAAAACCTGTGTCCCCATTGGCCACGTTGGCTGCCTTGTCGTGACCTCTCCCAGTAGTGACCTGCCATGGCCAAAGATCAGACATGGGGAACCAGGTGGGGCTTTAGGATGGGGGAAGGGGGTTCTAGTCCATATCTGTCTATACAGAGCTGGAATAGGGAGGACTCATTCTGAGGGATAAGGTGGGGGATAACGGGATGGTGACATCTTCAGGACAGGGTGCATGAGAATAAATGTGTGGTAATTTAGGGCTCAGGCCCAGAAAGCCTATGAATGGACACTGCTTCTCAGAGATTGTGCCTTAGAACAAAGGGTGACAGTGTGGGGTTCATGTGTTTAGGCACATTCCTTATCTTCTCTCTGAGCCCCATTTCCTTCATCTTTAAAATGAGGAGGTTGGTCTCTTCCCTTGTCCAAGGGTGAGGACCGGGGCTGGATCTTTCTGAACCCCCCCCGGAGGACTCGGCACGCTTCTGGCAGAGAGAGCTGCCTCAATGACTTTGCTTTCCTCCCCCAGCTCTGTATCCTAAGGACTCTGTCTGGCATGTGGAAGAGACCCCCGAGGATGGGGGGAGAGCCGCTGGGCTCCTAACAGCCCAAGTCCAGGTGAGGTGGGGCTTCTGCTTTTTCCTAAAAGGCTGCCCTGTTCCCTAAGGAGTCCAGGTTGTCCCCAGCCATCCCACTCCATGTGGTTCCTCAGTTTACAATAGCTAGGTTGGGTAGAGATGGAATCAGACAAGAAGTTTATCACTTCCTGAGCACAGACAGGGAGAGTTCAGTTTTCCATGATGCAGAGCCTCACTGTTAACCAGCTGATTGACAGTCCTGAGACCCGGCTGTGCTGTGGATTGTTTTGGTGGATGAGGGACAAGCCCTTGGTTTGCAGCACCCCTCTTTTCCTCCTCCTACCTTCCCTCATATATTCAGTGCCCGATTCAGGTGATGTTCGGTGAGTGCTGTGGTTGCTTAGAGGGGAACAAGGACACATTTGAGCTCTTATCCTAAGTCACTCCCAGGTGGTTCACTCAGCTACTAGGCATCACGACTTGCCAGGTGCTACACATGTGGTTCAGGAGACAGAAGCCTGAGACACTTGAGGAGGCCCTGAGCCCTGAGCTGAACCCAACTGATGCCTCGGGAGGTGGGATAGAGTCTGCATAGAGGTCGTGGGGCACAGAGCAGCTGGAGTTCTTTTGCTGTGGCTAGGGAAGCTGCTCAGGAGACAGGACATACCTGAGCCAAGAGGCGAAGGAGACATATCAGCCAAATGGGCATGGCTGGTGAGCAAGGGTCTGGCCTCCTAAAGCACCACAGGGTGGTGGGCGGTACTGCACGACCAGTGTCTGGGTGAAGACTGACCCCACTTAGATTTTAGGATGGAGAAGACGAGCCCAGCCGGGCCCTGAATGTCTGCTGCAAAGTTGGGCTCCATCCTGGTGATAATAAGGAGCCTCGGAAGTTCCGTGAGCAGGAGGCGGTAGGACTCACAGTATGGCTGGAAAGATGTCCCTGGCAGGGGGATGGGGAGGAGGGGCTATAGGAAGCAGGCTGGCATTCAGGCTTCAGTCTGACCAGGGCCTAGGAGAAAGATCTGAGAGGTATTAGTGGGTCAAAGCAAGGGGACTTTGACTTTGTAAGGGCACAGGGGTGGCTCTTGAGGGCAAAAGGATAGCAGAGTTGATGGTCTTGGAGAGGTGTCATCTTTCTCCCCTCCTTTTACCCAGCCTCCTCACTAGAGGCAGCCACTGAAGAAAAAAAATATTTTTATAACACATTTATTAAAATATTATTCATATACCATAAAGTTCAACCTTTTAAAATGTACAGTTCAGTGGTTTTTAGTATAGTCACAGAATTGTGCCACCATCTCCAGGATCTAATTCTAGAACATTTTCATTATCCCAAAAATAAACCCCATACCCATTAGTAGTCACTCTTTGCTGCCCCCCACCCTCCAACCCCCCAGGTTCTCTATGTATTTACTTATGCTGAACATTTTATATAAAGGGAATCGTACAATGTTTGCCTTTTGGGTCTGGTTTCTGTCACTTAGCATGTTTTCAAGGGTTATCAGTGTTGTAGCATGTATCATAGCATGAATCAGTATTTTATTTCTTTTCTTGACATAGGTAGTCATCCTTAACTTACTGTTTTCAGTTTCTTAGAGTTAGCTCCATATTTCTAGATGAGAGCTTTTTATCTAATTCATCAAATACACATTTACTTTATTGACTTCCTGCTATGAAAGACGAAGAGAAATAGTTTCATTACTATAGGTCTTTTACTTCTAAGTGAAAATGATGAATCAACCTAATGTGAGATACTATGATATACAAATATTAATAACATCTCTATTAACTTTACGCCTCCCCCAAATTAAAAAACAAAAACAAACTAATGAGCCCTCCCACAGTTAAAGGTGACTAGTACATCTGCATATACCACCCCACGTGGCGGCACTATTATCTTGGGCTGCCAAGGGCCTGGACCACACGGTGCCGGGCAGTGGTTGCCTGGCAGCAGAACATGGGTGATAGTGATGTTCACTGCTGGTATAACGTACAGTCATTTTTAGGTCCTGTATGGAATCAGCAGTGAAGCTAGGCTAGGCTGAAAGATGGGCCTCGCATCAGTGTCTTAGAAACAGAAGTTGGTTGTAATAAAACGCTATGAAGAAGCCCTAATAACCACTTTGCTGCACTCACCTATAATTATTAGGGTTAATGCTGAGAAAATGGAGAATTCAAATAAAAACACCCTCCAATGTCCAAAGAGTTGTGATTTCTGAGAACATGCTCCTGGTCCCCTCCCCACACTCACTTTGGATTTTTCCTGTGGGAAACTCAAGACTTGAATCGTGACTTTTGTATTGAGCAAGGAGGTCTTCAGGAACACAAATGAAGTCCATATCCCTCTATTCCCTCCAAATTAAATATTTACTGAAATAAAGCATTCACCTGGTGAAAACATCAACTGCTGTCATCCCTTGTTATCTGAATAGTCTGTTCTTAGAAACATGTTGGAGAGTGAAGTTTCAGCTAGCAGGAGCCCAGATCCCATAACTTTGAGGAATAGGGAAAATAATATAATGTCTCAGCCTATCTAAAATCCCCACCCAGCCTCCCCAAATATGGAAACTCCCAAATCCCTCTAGAATAGCCCACCACAATTTCTGCACGATAAACAGTATGCTCATAAAACACCAGTAATATACCTTGCACCCGTCCTTGGCTGTCTCAACAATGTGCAGTCTCATTACATTTCTCTGCAAGACTTTTAATAAAATATTCACAAGGGGCCGGCCAAGTGGCGCATTGGGTAAGAGTTGGCTTGGGATACCAGCTCTGAGCAGCAGGGCCCCGGTTTGGATCCCACATGAGGGCCAGTGACACTGCTCTCTACAGCTAAGATGGTGAACAACAGCTCAACCTGGAGCTGGGCTGCCGAGAGTCGCCTGTGACAGTGTAGGCTGCAGCCTGCAGTGGGCTGCTGTGAGCTACTGTGAGTGGCCGTCCAATGGCCGGTGAATGACTGCCTCACCCAGGAAGAGCGCAATGATAATATCAACATGGGCCAGTGAAGCGACGTCCTCCACAACTAGACTGAAGAACAAAAGGACAGCAACTTGTCTGTTTCCCTTCTCCGATTCCCCAACGCTGTTGCCCTCCCTCAATTCTCCAATAAAATTGTAAAAAAAAAAAAAAATTTAACAAATTTCTGAAGATTCCAAAGAAACTATCTGAATTTCTCCATGAAGGGGCTCCATGAAGGGGCCACTGTCAGAATTCAGGTGATTCAGAGGCAGTCCTATGAGATCTTGTTAGGCAAACAGCTGAGACCTGCTGGGCGCCCTCTGCACCCTCTCCAAACCCTCCCATGGTTCAACTCTGCTGCTGGTTTGTGAGCAGATTCCAGAAAGTACTTTAGAAAGCCTAGATAAACTCCCATGTGTGTGCAAAGCACGGGAACAAGAATGTAAGTCATCCTAGCAGATGTAGCTGCGATATCAAGTCAGGGAATGAAGGACTCAGTCTTTCCTGGGGTGGGGCCCTTGTCTGTCCTGCCCCCTCACTCAGAAGTGTCGGTAACCGTGACACGGCAATTCCTCTCAGCCCAGGAACATGCCTCTGTCTCCACAATGGTGAGGCTAGGTGCCTGTCTTCTGCTATCTCTTCCATGTCATCTCCAGTCTTGGTTTTGCATTTTTCTTTGCATTCCTGAGGCCTCCATGAACTGTGGACTCCAACATGGGGGCATATTCATCTGGGTTCTTTTTTTGTAGTTTGTTAGTCCGTGGCCCTTCTGTTTTGATAACATCTCTGTCAATTCTGGAAATACGTCTTTTTAAATTTTTATTTTGACAAATTCTAATTACAGAAAAGTGTAAAAGGTAATCACGCTACCCATCACTCTGAATTAACAGTTGTTAATGTTTTGTCAATCTTTGTTTTCCTTTACAGTCCCTAACCACATTCTCTTCACACCCTTCCTCAGAACAATTCATGGTGTGTATGTAACATCCATTTTCATGCTCGTATGTAGAAAAGACAAGTAATACTGTTCTTTTAAAAAAAACAAAAACCTGCTTTTTCTACATGTAGCTTTTCCACAGCTTTCTTTGAACACTCACGGTCAACTTTGAGGTCCATCCATGTGAGATGCAGGTCAGGTTCATTTCTTTTGCCCCATCAGAGAGGTGGACTCTGTTTATTCTATCTGTAGATAGGCTTATAAGTCTGCCCTTCCCCCATGTCTGCTGTTCCAACCACAGCTGTGTGGGCGTTCTTGTGGTTTCCCTCTGTGCACACATGTAAGTGTTCTTCTAGGAATACCGCTAGAATCGGAATTGTTTGAAGTTCAGGGTGTGTGTTTTCAGTATGAATAGTGCTGCCACATAGCTCTGACGACCTAAAGCCACTTCTCTCTGCCGTGCAAGAAAGGTCTCATTTCCCTACCTCTTTACCGCCACTTGACAGTCTAGCTTAGTTTTTGC